AGAGATTAACCTTATTGGATTTGGCAGAAGATGCAGGCTCAGCCGTAGCAATGATGAAAAGAAGAAATACAGATAGTAGTTGATGGAAGGCCATTACTCACAACTGGAAGATCAATACACTTGAATTGAAGTTTTCTCCTGTTTTTGTGGTTTAGATATATATATATATATATATATATATATAGATATATATAGCTGTAATCCTGTATAGATTGTCTACCCTAATAAATGGAGTTATGTGACAGACGGACCCTTGAATCTTCTATCAACTACCTTTGCAACTAAAACAAATATTATATTGTATATTCTGAAAATCACATGTTACACTATGAATTCTAATGTAATTAATCTCTTTAAAGTTGAAATCAAGTTAGACGGGTGTCTACATATATATATATATATATACTGTGTGTCAAGCATCTTATGGTTTCCAATTGCAATTAATGTGTACCCATAGAGGTAGGTGAATCCAACTCCACATTTTGAAAGGTTTTTAATTTCATTGCCAAACCCATATATATCTTTTTTATATATATATATATATAGTTTAGCTCGTGAAAATTGGCAGAAAGAAGCTATATATATATATATATATTAAACTAGTAGACCTTATTCAAATCCTTCGTAAGTACAAAACCTTAAACCAAATAGTAATAGCTGCATGAAATAAAAATCTCAACACAAATAACCAGTGGAGAGAGACTACAAAAGCTTATTTAATAAATCAGTCCTCCAAACCAGCAGATCTACAAAATCACACAAATTCAAGACTTATTCTTCAGCTTTGGAATCAATGAATGCAAATCTTTTGGGCTTGGCGGTGGCTCGGAGTAACCACGAACTTTGGGTGGTTTCTGCTGCAAGTCTCGATAATAATAATTATCTCGAACACAAATTCCAGCGTCGCTTGAATCTGCCATCTTATTTCTTGGAGCTGAATTATGGCATACTTTTGGTGGGTTTTTCCCCTTGTAAGCCTTGCAGATGTAAGAAATATAGTCCATATAGTGCTGCACAAGTAAAAAATACATTCTAGAGATGATGATGGAAAAAGAGATTTATCATAATATACAAAACGTGATAGAGATGGAGTGTGTACTTACTTCTCTCAGAGGTTGACCATTGACAACCACCCATGGAGTGAAGTCATGAGGTGGATGGAGATCACTAGTTTCTTTACCATAAGCCAGCTCAAGCTACAATTCAACTTCTATGATCAGCATTAATCAGAAGTTATAGTTTAGGCAAGAACTCAAATTGGTTTTGCTTGGATTGATAAATTTATGAATGGAGCAAACCTGTTTTCCCAATCCACTTTCATAACATTTCTGAATAGGTTCCTGAGGATAGTGGAGATTCTGAGCACATTCTCGCCATACTTCTCTTCCACTGGAGTTGTTTGCTTTTAACAAGTATTCCGTGCAATAAATCATCTTGAAATGCATAATCTGTTCCAAGTTACGTTCATCGAAAATTTAAGACGAAGTCTAGTATACTATAGTAATTAGCATATCATAGTATACGAAAGATTAAGGAAATCAGGTGTACCGTATTAGGTAACGCGTTTATGATGCATGCATGAATAGTATTATAGTAGCATTCCTCTTCTCCATGCTGCATGCAAAATTTTAGCATGTAATTTTGATATACCCATTAGAAATGAGATTCAGTAACTTTACAATATACGAAGGAGAGATTTATAAAACATTTCTGATAAATTGAAAATGAAAAACAAGGAAACCTGGCAAACAATTTCATCATTTTGTGTAAGTTTAGCATTGCCCCATGGGACAAGCCGAAGATTAACAATGCTTAGAAGTCCATCTTCTTTGAAGAGCCTGATTAAGCCATTGGCACCTATAATGAAGTCCTGACAACCTGGACAAAGGGTTTCATAGTACAGAGACAGGTTGACTTTCTGATCATCAGCAGGCTGGTGATTAGTAGCCACCTTGTAATTTGGTAAGGAAGAATAGCAAGTAGAAGGAGAGATGAATAAAAGCAGTAGTATAGAAGTAGAGAGAAAGGAGGAGAGAATTTGAGAAGGAGCCATTGTGGTTTTCTTGAAAGATTTTGTCTGTGTGTGCTTTAATCTCTCTGGCACGTTAGGGTTTATATAGCAAACACGTTGATGGGACCGATTGCTGATATTCAAGCTAGTTTCTTATGTAAGTATGCTTGATTATTCATGTACTTATATAACAATAGTAAAAAAAAACAGCCAAATCCCACTTGTTTTTATTAGATGGTTTACAGATTTAATCATAATTTACTTTATTAAAGGTGGTTTTGTGTGATACTTAAGCTATACACACACACACACACACACAGCTGTTTCAGTAGACAATTTTGGCATCCTCTGGTTTTCTGCAAGCTGATATGTATGTATAAGTAGAATGGTGATGAGCTGTAGCACCATCTAAATGTAGGCGTCAGCTTATCTTTCTTATTCATTTATGTTCTGTATCATAATTACTTCAAACAAAAGCAGGATAATCTTGAATTTAATTACACAAGCTGATACCTAAATTAAAGGCTTTACTCATGCCTGTACATGGCTTTAGTTACATCATCTGTGCTCCAAAAAAAAAAAAAAAGAAACTGTAAAAAAGAGTTATACTAATGAAATTAATTGTCAATTTCTTTTTGAATGAAGGTTGATACATTTTTATAATTAGATAACACTTTCACACTAATAACTTATAACCAATCAACCATAATGTATATGCTGATTGTTTTTATAAATCATTTCATCTTCTCCATGCCAAAAAATTACAACAGTTCATATATATATATATAATGATCAGCCCCAGTTAGACTCCAAAAAGTGATACAAAAGAGTATTATCTTGAAATGGCTTTCATGAATCTGTCCAGTGAAGAGAAAATTCCTGCTGCTTGACTGAGCAAAGACGGGCCCTGCTCCGACTTCTCTTCTACGCTTCCAAATATTATCTGCCAAAGATTTTAATCATATAACTTGTCAGCTTTGTCAAGGTGAAATATTTTTCTCAAACTTTTTGGTAGTCCACTAACCTCAAGATCTTCGGCGTCGGGACGGCTAATGAGCTCTTTGGCAAGTAAGTACCTGTTTGGTCTTTCTTTGTCATCATAGAACACCTTCCATGAACTGGAGAAATTTGAGACAAGGGAAAATAATAATATTAGTGAACTAAGCAAGATGAGACACGCCTAATATTTGTCAATCTATTCAAGTTGGTAATTGAGTTCTGGAGTGTTTTACAGCTTTCTTCTATTATGCTTGTTGAATCACCATTGTGAACGTCCACAATACAATGACAAAAATTTTCTCCATCTATTTTCGTATATAATGAGGAAATTTCCTTCTAGATCTCACAGCTACCTTATACAGTGAAGGGACCAAACCCAGCTACTGTTCAAAGAATTTTGGTCCACTCAAAGAATGCCTAAATGATGCTTCAAATCCAATTAAGTACTGCGAAGTAAATGTATGAGTCCTACCCCGGATAACACCTAAAGACAGCACCAGATGGCAGAGGTCTCATTGAGTAAACCGTAGTGAAAGAACTGTAAAACAAATGAGAGGGCAATTACTGTACTATGATCAACAAATCATGCCATTCTGCCAAAGGAATTGCATTGAAATCACAAAGTTGCAAAGTGAAAAGTAAAAGGACTGAAATTAAACATATTTTGTACATTAGTGGAGGTACAAAAAGATCAGAATATGTAGCAAGGAGGCATCCAGATAGAGTTTAATGGTTAAAACCAACCTGGAAAGCAGCTAAAAAATGCTTTGGTAGGCTGACTTTGAAGTATGAAGTTCACAAAAGATGGAAAAAGTACCTCAGGAAGTAACGTCTTAACTTGCGAACATTAAACCCGACTCCAACATCCTCGCTTACAAGACGTGGATTCCACATGATGAGAGGCCTTGGCTAGCAACATATGGGGGAAACACTGTGAGAAAAATCGTGCTTTCCAGCTTAAGGATAACGATCAATTGTCTCTAACCCTTCAGAGTTTAGAGTTAAGGATACAAATATTTGACGAAATAACCATTTCATATGCATACCCGACAAAGAAATAAGATTATTTGATTATACCTAGGAGAAATCATGTTTTCAAAGGAGCAGCAAGCAATAGAAAGAAGGTATCAGGCTTCCAGACGAGTTAGTGATTTACAACCAGACATAATTTTAGTAAAGTGTGATTAATTATGATAAAAAAATCAGGTACAAATGTATGGAGAGCCTAGATTGTGATAAATAATTGAGAAGTTCGGTTAATACCGGATCGTCTGAGAGGGCAGATGCAATTCTCTCTACATATTCCAACATCTGATAATCAGGAACAACCATGACAACAATTTCATCTTCATTCTTCACAGGTTTCCGATCACTTAAACTGGAGAAAACACAATAAAAGAGTGACCTAACTATCAGTCGCAAAATTAAGCACTTCAACCACAGATCAAAACTATAAAATCACTATGCTCCTCATCAAACAGAAAAAATTACAGTTCAATAAATTTCAACATCCATTTGAAGAAACATAATCTAAACAATATAGAACTGAAAGACAATAGGGCAGAAATTACCTGGAGAAAGCAAAAGGAGCATCTTTCCACTTATATTTCAGAAGGGCAGCAGCACCAGCATCTGGAAATATAGCTTTAACCCTCTAAAAGATATTCAAGAGACAGCAGTAAACAACTAGAATAAATGTAAATGCATAGAGAAACTGAAATTATTATATTCAAGAAACATTTCAGGTCCTGAACAGAGCTAGTATTTTTTATTTAGAACACCATAATCCATTCTTGGAGGATCGCATATAAAATTATTTAAACTGAAAGCAGCACTTCAAGCTCACCTGACATCCTGTTTGTTCAATGAGAGTATCCAAAAAAATTCTAGAGAGTTCCCACAGTTCAGCTTGTGCACCTTCATCGTCTAGAAACCGCAGCTGGGGGATTAAGAGCTCGACCTGCAAGAAGTTAGATGATCTAGTAATATGAGAAAAAAGGTAAGATGAGCATAAAACAAACTGATGACTATAAATGCCGCTTCCATAATGAAATTCAATTGATTTTATTTAGAATAAGTTTTTTATCATATCAAAACAAATATTAAAAAGAAAGAACAACTTTCATTTCAAAGTTCAGACAAGCAATATGAAGCACTTATTCGCCTTGGATAAGACAAAGATAAATTTTGAATAGCCAGCAGTAAAACTCAGAAAAATCATATAAGAGTTAGACAATTTGAGATTTTTCGATCTTCCATCAATATAATTACACTTTATGTATAATCTTGTCATAGTTCTCCTTAACACATCTGATAAAATAAGCTCAAGAAGTGGACTAAATCATGTAGCTTGAGGAACAATTACAATTATAGATGATTCTATATGATATTTAGAGGATTCCACCAAAGAAACCAAGTAGGAACAAATCAATTCCACTTTCTGTCAAACAATTGCATTTTTTCCTTTGCACATACTATGGCTCTCATTCCTCCTGAAGAAACGAATGTGGCACTCGCTTGACTTGACTGCCTGACAGCACCCTCCAAATCCGAAGGCAAGCAACTGAAACACAAACAAAATTTGCTTAATCCACCGTGTTCAATTCAGTTAGTTGCTAGTAAAAGGATAAAGGGATAAATATGTTTTATATTTAAATTGTATTATAAGTTATATATATCACTAATACTAGGTTCTGTGTGTCATTAGAATTCTAGAACCTAAGGTATATTACATTAAAGAAAACAATCTTAAATGCTTCATGCACCATCCAATATGACGAATAAACCAAATCAATTACCAACAAGAAAACTAAAATTTTCCCCTTCCTAAAATCTCAAAATGCAGGTAAGTATGCCTTTAAATCAAGAATCTGAGTATTCTAATCTTGGTTAAATCTCAAACCAAACCATAATTTAATTACCGAAGCCAACTACTGAATTGCTATGCATGTGATTTCATTCCCATATCAAATTCAGTTTCCATAAGCATCTAAATTGAAACGATTATCATATTTGCAGGTGCACCAGCAAAAGGGTCAGCCCTATATAATCCTCCCATATACACCTTGAACGTAAAAAAGAAGAAAAAAAAAATAAGAAAACCCCCCAAAAAAATGTACTGAGATAAGCATTTCTAGATTTATACACACACGCATGTAGGTATTCTATGTATAGTTGGCAAGTAAAGCCGGCACCTATCATCTTCTTCCTCTTCTTCTTCCACTTGCTGAACGTATGAAGAAGACGATGCGCTACTCTCTTCAGGGTTGTCCTGAGGAGAATCACTTTGGAATTTCTCAAGCTTGGCCCATGTTCTCGAGCTAGAACAACGTCTGTGAAGAGGAACTCCACAGTACTGATGCGGAATATAGTGAGAAAAAGATAAGGCAAAGCGGGTGGTTGTGGTGGAATTCCAGTGCTTAGACGCAGAGTAACAATGGAAGCAGCTCGATACTGAAGAAGAAGCCATCAAGTAACAGTACCACCAAGCTGATAAACTCACCAAGCCATGGATGAAGAAAGAAAAAAACAGCACTGATAAAAATCTGCAGGGAATTATGGAGCTTTGGATTTTGCCTTTTGAGACTTGTATAGAGTACTGTATTGAAGATGACGAACTGTATAGTAAAGGGACCAATGACTGTTAGCCACGTCAAATATGGTATTTTCAAATGCTTTGTGAAATTAAATTAAATTGGTAAATTTTGGATAATATAAATGAGAGTTTAAAATATAACTATTTTTAATTTATTTTTCTAAATTTTGATAAAATTTTAAAATTTTTATTTAATTTCATAAAAGATTATATATTAAAATAGAATTTTAAAATCTAGAAAAACTATTAACCATAATTTTAAAGTGTGAAATTAATTATAAATAAAAATTTCATATTTTTATGAAATTTAATAATTTTATCTTAAACGTAATTGAATGTACATATAATCTATTTCGTGGTTTTCACGACTCGGGTTTCGGCTGAGTGTCGGGGCTAACCCGTGGGTCGGATCGACTCATATTGAAGACCCGGCACTGATTTTCAAATTTACGCTACCTTTCCTTTCTTGATATTTCACATATAGCCGTTGGAAACAGCTCCTCCCTCCTCATCCTTCGTTTCTCTTCATTTCAATTCAAACGTTCGACTGATATCAAAACCCTAACCCTCCATTCCTCTATTTCACTTGTCAACTCTCTCTCTCTCTCTCTTTCTCTCTCGAGAATTTACTACTTTGCTCTGAAGATTTCAATTTCTACACAGATTTATCTCTTATTTTAAGCGATGGATGGTACTCTTTTTCTCTCTCTCTCTTTACAAGTATATCTGGATATTTAGATCCTTTGACTTTTCTTTGATTAATAGTTGATTTGTGAGGATATGATATACGATGAGTTGTTAATTCTTTCAGATCTAACAGTGTTCTCCGAGAACAGCGATCGATGCATTCCTAATTGCGAGTTAGATGACTCAGATCACTCTACAAAAGGTTCTTGTTTTTCTGATTCTTTGACTCTAAAGAAAAATTATTTTTGTGAGTCTTTTCTTTCTTTTATGTTTTCTACCTCATCTGAGTTTTTCAATCTTCAAAAGAAGGTTAATATTAATTCTTTTAATAGAAGATTTTTCGTTTCTTTGAGTTCCAGTTCATATAATTGAAGGTGCAAAATGCAATGATTCAGGCATGTGTGTTCTTCATCTCTGATTTCCTTTTTTCCTTCTCGGTACCGTTCGCAAAAGTAGTAATTGTGCTGATTTGAGGGTTATCTTCTCTTCTTTTTCTTTTCTTTTGTGTAGATCAAAGCCAGAAGATTTGTTCTACCGAAGAAGGTTCGTGATTTTGTTTACATGTTTCTTGTACATCTTTCAATGAAGAACAGTGGTTAAATTTAAGTTCAAAGCCTAGGTTCATGTTTACTTTTGATCTTGTTCTAACCTTCAGTAGAATTTCAACTGAATTAATAAGAAAATTCTATAAGTTAGAGATAACTTATCACTCAATTTCATTTTTAGCGACCAGGAGAACAGCATTTATTACTCTCTTCTGTATCATTTGCTTTTTGGATGTGTGCTTATTTGAGGACTTCATTGTTTCTCTATATCTAGTCGTAGCAAATGCAGACCATTCTGAAGAAAGCAGTGTATTAGATAGACTTCAAGAAAAATCTTGCCCTGAGGAGTCAACCCAGCCAATACTGCAGAAAATTTTCAATCTGAGCGACAGTGTTAAGGTGAAACTTCCACACATGTACTCTTTAAAGCCAAATGTGTTTTTTTAATCTACTTCATTGAAGCTCTAGTTATCCAGTAACACTAGTTTGTTGCTTTTAGATAAGTTTAGTTTCTTTACCTTGTTTCCTTATGGTTTAGCGAAGGTTCTTCAATTTATTCAGTGGTAACTTGTTGATTTAAGAAACTATGATTCATGTTCTTGTATTCTTCTCTCAATTCATAAAATTTGAACCTTCTCTTTTCTCAAACTTGTTTGATTAACTCTAATATTGGTTTGTATAGAATTTGAAGAAAGAGCACAGTCAGCTGTCTCATCAAGTAAAAGGAATCATGGTAGATCCCTTTCCTGGCTCTGAAGTTTTAACGACATTCCGGCGTCTTAGTGAGTATATCCAAGGACGGTAACTGAATGATGTTTCTTCGTCCTTTTTTCTTTGGGTTTAATCAGTTTGTATTTGGTTCCAGATGATGATTATGAACTTCTGAAGAAGAAGTATCTTGAAGAGTCGCTGGAAAGGAAACGACTTTACAATGATGTGATAGAGCTCAAAGGAAATATCAGGGTATTTTGCAGATGTAGACCTTTAAATCAAGTTGAAATTGCAAATGGCTCCTCTTCTGTAGTGGACTTTGAATCTGCCCCGGAAAATGAGCTCCAGATAATTTCTTCAGATTGCAGGAAACAATTCAAGTTTGACCATGTATTTAGGCCAGAGGATAGCCAAGGTAACATATTTTCATCAGTTTTTTTCAAGGAAATTTCAGTTAGTATACTTTATGCTGTTGAAGTTTCTAATATTGTGTTTTTGAAATATGCAGAGGCTGTTTTTGCTCAAACTAAACCAATTGTTACTTCAGTATTGGATGGCTATAATGTTTGCATATTTGCCTATGGGCAAACTGGAACTGGAAAAACATTTACAATGGAAGGAAATCCTGAAAATAGGGGAGTGAATTATAGGACCCTGGAGGAGTTATTTGCGATTTCGAAGGAGAGAAGCAATATCTTGAGATATGAGCTATATGTTAGCATGGTAGAGGTCTACAATGAGAAAATAAGAGACCTCTTGGTAGAAAACTCCAACCAGCCTTCTAAAAAGTGAGTTGAATTGGCTTGATATTTTCCATCTAATCCTTTCTCTATATAGTTTCATCTAAATCATCTGCTGATTACTGAGGAAGGTCCTTCAGTTTTTCTCAAAAAATGGCTAATCAAGAGAACTTTCTTCTCCTGATCATCTTAAAGCTTGCACTTTTTTTAGCTATGATTGACTGTATCCACAGATTTAATTAACAATATTGCTGAACTGCTGAAGGTTGGAGATCAAGCAAGCAGCTGAAGGGACTCTAGAAGTCCCAGGGCTTGTTGAAACTCGTGTTTATAGCACAGAGGAAGTATGGGAGGTACTTAAGTATGGAAGCCGAGCAAGATCTGTTGGATCCACAAGTGCAAATGAACTTAGTAGTCGTTCTCACTGGTATTTTTGTCTGTCTCCTATCTAGTTATGCTGACAGCATTGACTGTCTATAAAATAAATTAAAAATTATTTCTTTTATGAAATAATTGACTGGAGTTTATTTTTTCTAAAAAGAAAAAAGAGTGCAAAAATATATTTTGATAAAAGGGAACATGAAGTTTAAAGCATCTTAACCATGACTTGCCTCAATGGTCAGTTCTTGCTGCCCATCTGGGTTGGGTAGGTTCTGATCTTGGTTGTTTTTTTTTCCTTTTTCGCTTGTCTGGGATGTATATGTGAGAATGGGAACTGTCTTCTATAATGCACAGCTTGTTGCGAGTGACAGTAAAGGGGGAGAACTTGATAAATGGACAGAGGACAAAGAGTCATCTTTGGCTGGTAGATTTAGCTGGTAGTGAGAGAGTGGGGAAGATAGAAGTTGAAGGGGAAAGGTTGAAGGAGTCTCAATTTATAAACAAATCTCTTTCGGCGCTTGGTGATGTTATCTCTGCTCTTGCATACAAAACAGGCCACATTCCTTACAGGTATTTCTCTTTCCCTAAACTTCACCCTTCACCTTTTCCCACCCACAAAAAGAAGCACTGTAGTTACTAGATATCCCATTGCTAAATACCATCTGATAAATGTTTTTTTATCTTGCGTGCAAGACCAGAAACTCGAAGCTCACGCATATGCTGCAAAGTTCCCTTGGTAAGCTTTAGATTTACATTTTTTCTATTGCATAAGTCATAAAAACTATAGATTTTTTTTATAGACTTGTTTTTGCAATTGACTAGTATACCTATTCCGGAAGTATGGCTGTGGGGGATTTTCCTTGCAATGACCAATGGTTATTGGATTGTATAATGCAGGAGGAGATTGCAAGACCGTTATGTTTGTCCAGATTAGCCCAAGTGCAGCAGACCTTGGGGAGACCCTCTGTTCACTGAACTTTGCGAGCAGAGTCCGGGGGATCGAAAGTGGTCCAGCCCGCAAGCAGGCAGACCACTCTGAATTATTCAAGTACAAGCAAATGGTAACAAACTTCATCAAATTCTACGAGATTCAAAATTTTATCCTACTCTGAAGGTCTTTAAATTTGTTTCCTTCTGTTCATAATCAACAGGCTGAGAAGCTAAAACATGATGAGAAAGAAACAAAGAAATTGCAGGATAATCTGCAGTTCTTACAGTTACGGCTAGCTGCCAGAGAACATACCTGCAGAAGTCTACAAGAAAAGGTGATTTTACGGGACTTTTTGGCCAGAAGTCTTATAGATATTTACTGATTCTATACATATATAATCTATACTAACCAGTTATTTAATTGTGCAAAAGGTTCGTGACCTGGAGAATCAATTAGCAGACGAAAGAAAAACCAGACTAAAGCAGGAAACGCGAGCTTTTGCTGCTGCATCATCTTCTTGTCAGCCTTCAGCATTATCATCTGCTTACCATGCAGCGGACAGGGCAAAAATGGATAAAAAACCACCTCTTGGCCCTTCAAGACAGCGGATGCCATTGCGAAGAATCACCAATTTCATGCCCCCACCACCATCTCCTTTTCTTTACCATAAATTAACAACTCTGAAAAATTCAGCTGCAGCAGCCATTGATAACAAAGAGAACACTTCAAAACTGACAACAGCTTCGAACACAAACTCTCTGCTTAAACCAAGACGCGTTTCCATTGCTATCGGACCTCCCACCACAACAACAAAACCAGCCAAGAGTCTCCAGCCTAAAAGACGAGTCTCCATTGCTACTATCCGTCCAGAGCCTAGCACATTCATGACAACACCACTCCGCACCTCACTCAACAATGGCAGTTCAATGAAACGAAAATCATTAGTCCAGGACCCACGAAAGGCACGATATTCCAGGTTGTTCTCTCCTTTGCCAAAGTTATCCGAGGCAACTCCAGTTGCCATGAGGAGTAGCAGCAAATTCATGCGGAGTCCTCCAGTCTCCCAGGCCACTGGCTCATGGAAACCAACCCATCCAACAGTTGTTGCACTGCAGAGGAAATCACTGATCTGGAGTCCACTTAAGCTGAGAGGTAACATGAGGAACCAAAAGAAATCACAGTTTTAGCAATTGTAGTAGCCTTCAACTGAATTTAATACCCCTTTGAGTGACAAGTGATCATCTCTCTCATTCTTAAATATGCAAGCTTTTCTCTGCGTCAATTTGATAGCAGCCGTAAATTCTTTTCCTTAGCACGCTTGTCAATTCCTTCTTGTTCTTTTAAAAGTTTCTTTTGAGATGCTATGTATTTTAATTGTTGTTTGGTCATTTGTTGAATGAATCGCTGGAAGACAATCCAAATAGTCTGTGCTACAAACGGATAAAATAAAATTTGGAGAAGAAAAAAAGATCGATGCATTCAGAGGTACACCGATCTCAATTCGATGAATCAATGTGACAAAACAAAGTTTACGTCACTATTTGCCTAACAGGTATATCTGTTTTTTCATTTTTCTTTATTGAATTCCCCTCAAAGCATCAGAGAAAAATTCAACAGATTATTTGCATTCTAAGAAACTCAATTCTACAAATCAAGTTTTATGCAAAAGTTTTTAAATACAATAAACTCTGATTTATTTGTTAATACAAATGTAATACTGCATAGAATTTACATGTTGTATAAAACAATTTCTCCATTACAAGTCACAGTTCTTAGAATTTGTTCCATTTGCTGGTAGTTCATCCTTTCCCTAACTACCTTCCCTCCAAACTTCATCTCATTGTCTTTATTGCATTCCCCTCGAAGCATCAGAGAAAAATTCAACAGATCATTTGCATTCTAAGAAACTCAATTCTACAAATCGTGTTTTATGCAAAAATTCTTAAACACAATAAGCTTAGAAACATGGGAAAATAAACTAGGCAGACATCAACCACAACCACAATCAAAACCGAAGCAAATAATACATATATATGTTACAGTACTGCTGCCAAATGCAAACATCAAAAACTTTATTATTCTTCGTCGCTATCATTGCCAAAAACTGATGCAACTGCAACCTTTTTTGGCTTCTTAGCAGCACTTCCGAATGAGCTCTGCAAAATGAATGAAATGTTAGCAAGTTCAATAAAATTTGTTTAAAAAAATACCCATCAACCAGAGTAGTTGTTCTCCTCTAAAATAAATTTGCATTTGTAACAAATGAAATCATGCCCGTTCCCATGGTCAATTATAGGAAACAGTTGACCTCAAATAATGGATCAAGTTACTGTAGTTGTTTGCACAGGAGAAATAAGACTCTTCGAACGATAAACAATTTTCAACTTCACATACAGTCCTCGGTCTCATATAAACTGTTGAAAGTCTTAACTTTGAGTTGAGCATACCTTGGAGGCACTGCCTTTAGAAGAAAAACCGAACTTTAATGATTTCCGTTGATCCTGGTCAGCAAGTGCAGTGGCAGCTCTTGGGCCACTGGGAACTGGAGCAGATCCAATTTCTTCCTGTTTCTGCTGCAATTGCTGTTGTTTACGGGCATCAGCACTGAGTGGGATTTAAGGAAGCAAAAATAAGATGGATTGCACTAAGTTTCACAAACTAAGCTGCAAAAGAAATCTCAAACAAAGAAAATGGCAGGATACGTTAGAACAAATTTAGCCATCTCTCTCTCCTGTCGTTGCTGTTCTCGTTTTTGACGATCATCACGACTGCTACTACCATGCATTTCTCTCATTTCCTTGAAACGCTGCAGATGTAGACAATGGTTTATAAATATACAGACAAAGCAATCAACAAGAAATGTACAATAGCAAGATAGTCATTTACCTTTCTATGATTGTGATCATAAGAACTCAAGTGACCTTCAAACTCCATAGCCAACTTGTACTGCTTGTTGCAAAGTTCGCAATAGAAGACCTTGCGTATCTCTTTGACCTCAGTTTGTATTTTCTGCTCACGTTCTGCTAAAACCTGGATTTTCATAATTTGCACGAAGCAGGCAGTAGAAGCCACCAAGGTAATAAAAACTGCAGGAAATTCTCAAGAGCTTCCAAAGTTGATGTTCCCTTATGATATACCATTCCGGTCAAAAGACACACATATATGCTATGTGCTGCCTTCTGCTATATGATTTGGGTTTCAGAAAAAGTAAGGCATCAACCTCAATATTATCTAACAACTGAATATTTATACCATCTGCCTATGAGTTCAGAGGCATACCTCCCGCTTCTTTGCGTTTTCCTCAGTTTCCTCAACCTCAACATCAAGTTTTCTTCGTTGGATATTTTCTTCTGCAGTGAAAAAATCATCTTCTTCTTGTTTTCCGATTCCCAACTTTGGGTCTCTAATTCCAGATTTTATGGGCTCAACTATGCCTGCATATATAATAGCCAGAAAACCTTCACAGCAGTTGTTTAATTAGAATCTTTGAACAAAACGGCTATTGCCAAACCATCCCAAAGATATGACTACTAAAACTTGAATATGCAAATTTAATATGGGAAAGAAACAAAGAGAAAATAGTTTCTTCATGTTGTTCTTGAAACAAAGAAAAAATAGCTGTTTATTATACCAAATGACCCACTTACAATAGTAAACCCCAAAAACTTCAGCATTTTGTGAAATGGAACTTCTCTACAGTACCTTAAAACATAACAAATGACAGCTATATTTAGCAAAATCATTCACATAGAAAACAAACCATTTCAGCAACAGCTTCACGGATAGATATTATCTTGATAATATTGATAAGAAAGGGGAAAAATGTACAAAGAAAGGTATAGCAAAAACCTTCATATTTTGCCACTAAAAAATGGAAGTCAAACAAATTGAATAGAACCTCAGAAAAATCAAAGATTTCATTGTTTGAATGTTCAAAATCAGTGTTCATAAGAAAAGGGAAGATCATTTTTTTTGGCTGAAAAAAAAAAGAAAGAAATTGAGTGAATAGATACACAAAAAAAGAAGAAAGAGGTGAAAATTTAACGCCATAAACATATTTATAAATGTATTCGTTAATAAAGCAACAATACAATTGCAGTCGTAAAAGCCTCTGTAGAGTGAGGATAAAATAAAATAAGAATACAAATTCAAGAGACACCACAAACTTCGAAATTCGGCAAAAGGAAAGTACAAGAAATAGTACTGGAGGCAAGATTCGGTATGGAGGTATTTCAAGATTTCAAAACATCATTTAATGCAATGAGAAGAAATTCATTTGAAATTCATTTTCGTTGCAATAATAAGGATTCTGCATATTTCATACCCTGCTCATCCTTTCCAAGACCTTTTCCTTTCCACCCCATTTTCTGCAACAGCCTGAACCCAACATTTGATGATGTCAATTTTGTGTCTAGTGATGCTTGTTCCACACCATCCAGATCAACATTTTCTGTTGGCTTTTGATTGATTGGCAAACGAAAGTCTTCTGCCAGATCCTCGATGAGGGACTCCTAATATGCCAGAAAAAGAAGACATTCACCTCAACAAATTAGGGCAACTTAATTCTTGTTACATTCAGAATGTCTTGGAGATTAAGAAAACAGATACATCAGGGGAATTTTAGTTGTGCATCCAACTGATTTTCCTCAAAATATTATGGTAAACTTTTTAATGGATCATGAAAGGCATATCATTAGTTGGCATGCTTCATTAAAAAAATTCATGAACAAAGCCCAACTCCAGAACCAGGTTAGTGAAACCAGAATTCCATCAGATGCTCCTTGTAATAGATCCAAGAATCATAAACATAGAGGCTGTACATTACCTGCTCCATTTCATATTGCCGTCTATCTCTACTGCTTGATTCTTGTTTGCCATTGATCCATCTATAGTCCATTCTGCACCACTATGTGAACAAAGCAACGGAAAAAGGGTTCACTTCTTAACAATGAGTGCACTAATAGCAAGTTCGGGACTGGAAATATGGAGAAATCCATTGGTTACCCCAGTCTAGTCATGGGTTGTTAACACTAAAATCTAAACAAGTAGAGGAATGTTTTCGATTGTTCCTTTACCTATTTTAAAGCAACACTATGGACTCATTAGAAGAAAGTAATGAATTTTAAGAAATTTGTTTTCCGCTTATTCGTAAATCTTTGCAGACCATATTTATTACATAAAACAAAAGCTCCCTATAAGACCGGAAACTGTTTTTATCTAATGTAACTACCAAGACAAATTCAAACTTGCAACTGCCTTCTAAGTCCCTAACCATCAACGAAAATTGTCAGCTTACTGTTACCAGTAGTAGTAATTTGATTATAGCAACAAACAACACGCAAACAATTCAAACACACTACAAAGATAGTCTACACACACCTAATTCTTCTACACAGTATAGAAATGACACTTAAATCTTCTTGTTACACATCTGGTAGGTCTTGTTGAAAGGCACATTTCCATGACGCATAACATCATTACCGCCTTCGAAAGGAAGCTTGTCCTAAAGTGCGAAAATAGGACAGCAAAGTGCCATCTGTTCAGCTGACACTCATGTTGAATCAGCAGGACAGACATCTTCCAAGTGGATCAAAACTTCACATCCTTCATAGCGGTAGAAAGAATCCAGAAACACCTCTAGAGCGGGAATAGGAACACCATGGTGTAGCAATGGTAAAGTTGGTGACGTAGGATCTGGACCATGGAACCTCTTGACAAGACATGAAAGCTTTTCCAATAAAAGACTAGCTTCAGCGCCACAATCTTTCTTTCTTTCTTTCTCACCCTTCCTCTCTCTTTTGTGCCATCAGGACAGACAGCAAACTCCCTCTCTCTATCACCTAAGCACCCTTCTTCCTCCTCCAGAACCTCTTGTATTCCAGCAGCAACACTGCCTCGAACAGTTGCCAAAAGTTAGTTCCATTCTCCTTCACCTTCCCAACCAATACCATGGAACCCGTCACCAATACATGGAACTCTATAGACAGTGCACAACCTGACACGAAGGTTTAATATGTCAAAGGAAGCATAAAAGCGAGCGGTGATGCCCACATTTTTACACCCCATTAATTCCAAGAAATACAGTTTTTATTGCTTCGACTTCATTCAAATGGATGGACCGAACTAATGTTGTTTATCATATGGGATAGGCCTGGCTGTATGTGCGCCAGGCTGGGCAAGCCGAAAGGGCCTCCTTGGTTTTGTCTAATGTGGTGATTACTATCATGGTTCAGATCCAACATTGGACCCCAGCCAGTGGATTGCCTGACCCAAATAATTAATTTAAAAATCTAGTATATTTGATAAAACACATCTCACATATTGCAGTAGCCCTAGAGACCCATCTCTTTTATACCTCCCAAAAACACCCATCCTCTCCAATTGACAACTATAAACTGACCTGCCTACTTATGAAAATCAGCATACTATTCATTTCTGGGCAAATATCTGCAGTATTAACTAATATCCTAAAACAATAGTGCAGGGACATGCAAGGCTCTTATACCTCTATTCTAAGCCATGCGTTGGCACCTAATTCACCCCAAACAATATTAATATATTTACAAATAACGCACACCAAGTCAAATTTCAGCCTAACTATTTACAATTTTATTCAAAAACTTAATTTATTATGCAGCAGGCTCCTCAAACAACATCGAATAACAAATGAAACAACGAAAAGAAGAATTAGGCACAAACTGAACTTTAACATAAAAAAGGGGAAAAAAAATCATCATCTCAACACTCGAGCAAACCCTAATCTCGACCAAAACCCTGATTTGATTTCAGATCAAAACCCTCAACTTTCACGACTTGTGCCTATTTCTCTTATGGCTAATTGCTACCCCAATACTCAGAAAACCGATCAAAACCTTAATAGTCGTAAACTGTAATCGAACCCTGGAACAAACTTACCAAATCCTACCCTCCTCCAACAGCCGCTGCTCGTGCGTCTTCTCTTTCTTTTCTGCCTTTTCCTCCTTCACTCTCGTTTCGTTGGCGAGTACGTTCTCGTCCCTCTCTGTAAATAGCTTCTTTGTCACGGAAATCCTTGTTCCTTATTCCTTAAACGGGGTCGTTTTTGGTACGGTGAGGAACATTAATAAAACTTTTATCTCATTTCCAGATAATTTAATAAAATAAACTAAATTTGTACATTTAATTATATTATTTTAATTACCGTTGACTTTTTCTTTTTTAAAAAACTTATTTTAATTACAGAAAATATAATATATTTATTCCATAATTTTTATTCTGATAACAAAATTTTTAATAGTAATCTTTTAATTACGATATAATTTTAAATTAAATATTTATATAACGCGCACTTACTGTAAAATTAATTTTATTACTTAATTAGAATTTTTAGTTAAACCAATTTTGTTTTACATAATTATAAGAAAGGTTGGTTTTAATTTTAGTATAATATATAGTGTTGATTTAATTTAAAATAATAAAGAAATGGAGAAAGATATTTTTAATTTTGAATTAATTTATTTAGAATTTAAAATTTTATATATTTGAATTTTAAAAAAAAAAACAAAACAAGACTTTAATTAGATAATTATAAGAACTGTGTATGCATATAGTTTTTACTTAAACAGATTGTATTTTAATTTATCAGTTTTAAGACAATTCAAACTAAATAAAAGTATACTATTAGAATTTCAGCCTGTGCCATACAATGTATATAACGGGATTGTATGTATGTATGTATGTATGTATATATATTTCTATCTTATTAGTTATCAGCCTGTGCCATACAATGTATATAACGGGATTGTATGTATGTATGTATGAATGTATGTATATATATTTCTATCTTATTAGTTATCAGCCTGTGCCATGCACCGTAAAATTATATTACTAAATTTTCAGTCTGTGCTGTGCAGTGTTTGTGTGTGTATATACATTTCTATGTCATTAGTTATCAATCAGCCTGCGTTATGCACCATAAAATTATATGATTAGATTTTCAGCATGTGCTGTGCAATGTTTATAACGGGATTGTGTATGTATATAACATTTCTACCTTATTAGTTATCTGTTATACCTTAAAGCTGTGGCTAATATAATAAGCCTAGAGATCCCATGGCATAGAACCCATCATCCACAATCACAATCTGCAACAAGTCTGTCATGGCATAAATGACTTGAAATCAAAATTGTCTCTTTCTTTTCCGAAAACTGCTAAACAAAGTAGTATCGCATACTTATCGGCAATCCACATTCTTATGAATCGGAGAGTAAGAGTTATTTTCCTTTGTCATAAGCAGCTATGTTCTGGGGCTCACATTCAGGGCTGAACAGGCGAACCAGCAAAGCAGTTGTTGAGCTTACAGAAATGGCTCCACAACCTGCCCACCTAAGACTTCTGGGAACTGTAATTCTAGGACCTGCAAAATCACAGAATGATAAATGTTTCATATCTATATATATATATATCAGGAACGAGACACACAAATATAACTAAACAAAATGCCGTGATTAGGACTTTCCATGTACTTATATACCTCGGTTACAGTCACAAGGTCGAGAGAGGGAAAAAAAACATTGATAGAGAATCAGCGAATTAGTGAATGCAGAATTCGGAAAGTCTAAAATTTTCCTGGCCCTAATTCAGGTCAATGAATCTTGTTTCAATAACTTTTAACTATCCAACCATAAAAGTAACCAGAAATATTGTACTTCAATGCCGATATATCCTGCAAACTCTCAGACACTGGAAAAGACTATCAAGTTTCTGTCGTCCTTACATCAATCCAATGGTTATAGCACCAAATTTCAGGGATACAACTTATATCCCCACTAATTGTAAGCAAGATCAGAATCAGCCAACTAAAATTTCCAGCTTCAGCCCTTACTAAAACCATGAAAAGACTCGTATTAGGAGGAAAAATGAAGCGAGCAAGCAAATAGAGAAAAATAAAGGTCGATGGGGAGATAAAATAATTTTTTCTGTCTTTTATATACCAGAAGTTACAGTAAGCCTCTATTTCTACACACAGGTTTCTGATCTTAGATAAACACTGTTTTTTAATTCAAGCTATCTATGCTCATATGCCTTATCTGCATGCCTTTGAATTTGTTTGAAATTTGAATCTGTATCTCTAATAGTAGGTTGAGGTCTACTTCACTTGATCTGAACTTCAACAATAGGAAAAAAAAAAGCGCAAGATGAAACCATCAATCAGAAAACTTTTGAGAAAGGAAAAACAGACCATAGTGTAGTCTACAGAGCACCCAAAATCCTAATGCTCCACCTACGGTGAATATTGCAGCTGTCTGCCTCATCAATCTGGAGCAAGGTTTTGCATCCGACCTCATCAGTTCACCATCAGAAAACCCCAAAAGTCGCCTCAATGCCATTTTTTTTTTCCTAATCTCCCAATGCAGTGCTTAGCTATGCAGCTCAGTTTCTAATCCACTTACAGGCTTTCGAGACAGAGAGAACTGCACAAACACCATAGTAGCCCCTTTAGCCCAAAGAATAAAAGGAGTATGAGCAAATGCAAGAAATAGTTAGCAAGAATGAAAAATACAAATTGGAATAACGAAACATAAAAGAATTTCTTAAATATTTTAGGACGACATTAGAAAAAAAAAAAAAAATTCAATGCAATATGTTTCTAAGAATCATTTTATCGAGCACTTGGGAGACAAGGCCTGGATAAGTGATTGCTAAATCTTCAACCTCCCATTGAAGTATACCAAATTAAAAGATGCAGAAGTTAAAGGAAGCAGAACCAAATTTGGAGCAGATAAAGTGAGATTACCCTGCTTTTGGTTAAAATGACCAAAGAAGATCGGATGATACTGGAATAAAAGGACCCAAACACATTACTCACAAATTCCAGTCCTCCTGACTTGATCAAAAGTATCCCAAACAGATAGCTCAATACCGAATCCTCACCACATGATTAATCAACAAGCATGTCTATTCCAAGTTCAAGTTATACCTAGTTCACGGAAACGTTCAAACAGAGGAGACTTGTCTTCAGATTTTCAAATAAGGAATTTAGACATTTACACAATGCCAAGTTCAACAAACAACTCAATTCAAATTTATCGACAACAGGAGTTGAAGTTTAAAGAGATCCTCATTCTCTATACTTGGATTACCTAAGGAGAAAAGCACAGCAAACCGAAGGGTGAGCAGACTTTGAAGCTCCTCCTTCACGAACCCAAAAAAATCTCCTGGATTACCTAATGTTTCTGGAATCCGAACTCTCTGTTTCCTCTTCCGGAACCAAGTCCCCTCGGTTCTAACTTCTGATACTGGCGGCTTGGGCTGAGAAGTTTTTAATGGGCCGGGCCGAAAGAGAGAATAGGATTTGGCAAGTAAGAAAGAATATATTGATTATGCCTCATCAACGGCTATCAACTTGTCTTCCCTCGGTCAACGAAAACGCCGTCGTTTTCAGTTTTTAAAAGCCGCGCATATACTGTTGAATATTAAACTTTCAAGTTGAAAACAAAACTAGCCGTTAGCATGCGTTTCTCAACAAGATAATAACTGGACCGTTGCGCCGAAAAAATTTAAAAAAAAAAATCAAAAAGAAAAAAAGATCCGTTACCAGAAAGTCTCCTTCTTCTTCTTCTTCTTCTAAACTCATTGACATTTCACTCCGTAGATTAACTGAATACAGGTGAAAAACAGTGGAAACACAGCTTCGAGACTGAGAGACTTCAGTATGGGTATTTAGAGGGAAGAAAGAAAAGGTGGAGACAAAAGGAAAACAAATAAATACTTTCTTATTGAGCTAAGACCCACTTAGGTGTTTTGAGTTCTTCTTCAATCAATCATGGTTGCAAGAACCCCACCGAAGCAGAGGAAAGTGGTGGTGGCTCCTCTCAACCCTGTTTTGCTAAGAGAAACTCTGAAGAAGGTAAGCATTAAAGTAGATTATTATCTCGTGTACTAAGTTTTCTTTTTGAATACTCTTCGAAAATCCCTAGTGGGTTCAGGTTAGTGAAGGCGGGACTGATAGAGTTTAGGTCAAATCTGCCTTTTTTCTTTAATCTCTAAAGTTTCTCAAAATTATATTACATACTCAACTTTCCCATTTGATACTCTCAAGTGGGTTCCAGTTAACCCAGGAGAGATTGTAGTTGGGTAAGAGATGGAGCTCAGATCTGCAATTTTTAGATCTAAATTTCTCAAATTTGTCAATGTTGATTTATTGAGGGTGGGTAAATTTTGAAGGTGGATAAATGTATGTCACGATTGCAAGAGTTACAGTACACAGTAGCAGGAGGGACCAAGGTGATATCTGGGGTTAGTCTCAGTCCTCGGAGCACAAGGGGTTATTTAAGAACTAGTCTCAGGTGCAAGCAAGAATCTTTGAGGTAAATTTCAAAACTTTGGGTAAGAAACAAGTGAAGTTCTTTGCGGATTTGATTATAATTTTTTGTTTGTTCAAACGGGATCTCTGTATTTTGCAGGATGAAAAATGCTGCTCAGAAGAAATCTCCTGTTGGGAAGTTTCCAGCGAGCACAGGAGGTGAGTCTCTTCCGTTTCTCTGAAACTTTCCTACTCATTTTCTCACTAACCAAACAGAAGCATCTGGATTATTCAGGGGACTGGCGACGAATGTCACTGCCAGCGATGCTAGTCGGAGAAACAGTCGGAGAAATTCTCCAAGCAAGCCAGTTTGCAAGAGAAATCGTAGCTGCAGTAACTGAAAAACCCAAGAAGAAAACAGTTCTTCCTATTCAGGATCAAGCCCCAAAAACACCAGACACTGACCAGAAAAACCAGAGACCAGACCATGAAAACTCTGAATTAAAAGCTCGAAGAAAGAAGGAGAAACATAACAGGTTGCAGCTGATCCGAGCAGAATCCAATTCTCCATCACTGCAAAAAGCTCGTTCCAGAATCAACTTCAAGGTTTCTCCCTTAAAAATAAAAGAAAACACAAACACTCGCTATATAGCAGCAAACAGAATCTCTCCCAAGAACAAACCGTGGGCTAAGAAGACTGTTCTTTTCCCAAACCCTCTTTTCCATTCAACTCCATCTTCACACCAACAGAAGTTCTGCAAGACAAGGTCTCCGGTGATAGCCAGAAACAACAACAAACAGACGACGACTCCGCATAAGTTTCTGATAAAGCTGCCGACTTCACCACCGTCGGCTGGTTCTTCCAAGTTTCGAGTCAAAATCAGGAGTCCACCGGTGGCAATTTCTCCCAAAAGGCAAAACAATTTGAGCAAGATGTCGTCAACTGCGGCAAAGCTCCGGCGGTCTTTGTCGCCGGCAAGACTGGCGAATAGATTAGTCTCGCCATTGAAGAGCAGGAAAGGTGTACAGAGACCGGCAGCTGTGCCACCTATTCGATTCTCTACTGGGAGAATTCAAGGGGCAACTCTGATCTGATTCATAATCGGTAAAAAAAAAAAAAAAGAACTAAAAGAAAGTTTGATCTTTTTTCTTCTGGGATTTTGATTTTCCAATGTTTATATCAGAACTGATTCTTTACTTTTTTCTTTTCTTAATGGCTGTGAATTGTTTATGTTCAACGTACATTTGCTGATGTACCAACAGCATCTTCACACCAACAGAAGTTCTGCAAGACAAGGTCTCCGGTGATAGCCAGAAACAACAACAAACAGACGACGACTCCGCATAAGTTTCTGATAAAGCTGCCGACTTCACCACCGTCGGCTGGTTCTTCCAAGTTTCGAGTCAAAATCAGGAGTCCACCGGTGGCAATTTCTCCCAAAAGGCAAAACAATTTGAGCAAGATGTCGTCAACTGCGGCAAAGCTCCGGCGGTCTTTGTCGCCGGCAAGACTGGCGAATAGATTAGTCTCGCCATTGAAGAGCAGGAAAGGTGTACAGAGACCGGCGGCTGTGCCACCTATTCGATTCTCTACTGGGAGAATTCAAGGGGCAACTCTGATCTGATTCATAATCGGTAAAAAAAAAAAAAAAGAACTAAAAGAAAGTTTGATCTTTTTTCTTCTGGGATTTTGATTTTCCAATGTTTATATCAGAACTGATTCTTTACTTTTTTCTTTTCTTAATGGCTGTGAATTGTTTATGTTCAACGTACATTTGCTGATGTACCAGTTTGGGAGCTAACTTTATAATAATTTTATGTTAATTTCAAATATTTGTATAGTTAATTCCATATTAGGAACATAAACTATGAAAATTCATTACTGTAATGAAAAGTAAACTTTTCCTTTTTAGCCATACACATACATCAGAAAGTTCTGGCGCACACACATATACTGCTTTGCAAATAAATATTAGTAAATATATCCCATTACTAGGTTTTATAAATTACTTTTGAAAGATTAACAAATAAATATTATATTAATAATATAAAGTATTAATTTATATCAGAGGATGAATCTTCAGAACAAAATCAGAAAAACAAGATGAGCTGAAAAACGTGGCACAAAATCTTGTAGTATCAATCTCAACCCTGCAAATGATTTATTCTACATCAATAATACAACATGCACAAGACACAAACTTGAGAGTTGAGACTCCTTTGTCCATTCCCAACATCTTCAAAAACTACCCAGACAACCAGACACATCATTTTCAAAAAGCTACCCTCCTCAGTGGTTCAATAACAAGAACAAGATAACTCTTCTTTGTTTCAACCATTTCCGGACACCGGCTTTGAGACTCTAGAACAGGGGAATAAGACATTATAACAGGCGGGACAATGAGAGTTTGCTTTTGATCTTGCTTCTTCTCCATTCTTTGGTCACAGAGATGGCAAACTGATCTGCGCTAGGTAAAAGAAACAGCTCACACTCTTCACAGAATTGTGTATCTTATGTTCAACTCCAGAAACGAAAAATGACCCTATTTACAATCATTTGCTAGGAGAAGCAAATCTTGTCCTCTCTCTCTGACGATTCAAGATTCGATCCTTGGGAGATGATGTTTTTCCTCCCATTCCCGCTTGCCTCATCATCTCTGCAAGTAGGTTTTTTGTATTGATGCAGTATAAACAACTATAATACACAAACTTATAAATAAAAACCTACTAAAAGATCAATCCTATGTATTGCGATAAATATATGTAGTCAGCATATATCTCCCAAAGAGAATAAAAAATAAAGAAAAACTGTTAGTTCTGTATTCTATTTAACTTGCATCTTGAGACAATTGAGAAAGTTCTACCTCTCTTCCTCTCAAGTTCTTGGTCAAGCTCTTCTTTCCACTTTCTCTGTCTCTCGGAAAAGCTCATACTGTGATAAGCAAATTATATACTTCAGATGAAATCTACAGCAGAGAATCAATCATGGATCATGCTAAAGATACTGACCTCAGCTACTTGATTCCTGCTTAGCATCTCCTAGAAGTCCTCTCCAATCACTAACTGAGACGACGAGTGTCTTGTGGAGTATGATCACCTCCATCATCAATATTTGAGACATGCTTGCTATTACTCCCGGGGCTTCCCGTACTAACAACATCAGCAGCTGTAGATGGGGATCCAGCAGGACCACGAGCGGGTGACCTGCTTTTTGGAGGCAATTTCAAGTAATTTGAAGGAGTCTCATCTCGTCGATTCTCAATTAAACTTGGAGAGGACACCACATTCAAACTGTTGTAGAACTCTTCATATAAGGGTGTCTGTAGTTTCTTCAATTCTAAAGCCTGACAGTTTAGTATCACTTCGTATGTCACAAGAAGGATGTGGATCAAAATTTGGAATAACACACCTGGACAACAGTAAGTTGACTGGCATTCGAAAAAAAGTACCTTCTCATCCAGAAAAGCTCTGATTTTTGATTCAGTAAGTTCCTCATCATCCTCAGACAATGATGGTTGATCTGTGTCCATTTTTGTTCCATTCTGCTCCACTTTAGGACTCACTTCAAATTTGCAATTCCAGTCACCAGAGAGCTCGCACATAGTATCACAGTTCTGTTCCAACGCCAAATTTAGCTGCTGGGTGTCCAAATAATCACAAAGACGTCTAAGACATTGGAAAGGCAAGAAAGTAACTGCTGACCTTATTGTTTACATTTCCAGGTTTTAAAGAAGAGCTAAGCTTCACTTCACCAACCATAAAATCTTCTTCATCAATCCGACACATATCATCATCACTGTTGCTTGTTCCCCTGAGGAGCTCACTTTCTGGCATTTTCTCAGGATAGGCACTTGAGTGGTCTAGGCTACCCAGATTACAGATATCTACAGAGTCAGTGCATGTAGGCTTTTGACTGCAAGAAAATTAATCATAAGATCAAAAAAACTGCACAAGCATCACAACAGATTCTCTGGCCATTGAACAAGACAACATAACAACTCCTTACAATGTTTCGAGGTTTTTTCCATTTGATGGTGAAGGAGTATCAGAACTTTCCTGATGGTAAAGAATTGTGTCCACTATAAGATGGTAAAATGAATTGAATAACTGAATAAAGAGAATCTAATTAAGCATGAACTTACAATGACTGAATCAGGGAAAATGGGATTAGATTCTTCATGTTCCCCAGTGACAAAGGGATGCTGCACATAATTAGTAGATAACAAAATGAAACATTTATAAATATTTAGCAGTTTATTGTTCATTGCCAATGATTCGCCAAGCTTAAAAGAAAGTTTCAGCAACTGCACTGCTAGTGCTCAGGTAAGGAGCAATATTGATTTAACTAGAATTACCTTAAGCAATTCAGATGCTACTGGTCGCAAATTTGGTTCCCTACAAATCGGGAAAATAACATATGTTAATATTTCAGAGGAGAACCAGAAAAGAAAATTTAATAGAAATGTTGCTTATAATATCTAAGTTGCTCCCAAGCTTTGCAACTCAACTTATGCTGTGAGAAATTTCTACTACAACTATCTTATTAAGGGGAAGAAAAAGCAACAAAGCTGTTATACTTCTGCAAACATTTCAGCAGAAAATCTTTTGCATCAACAGAGAGATGCTCTGGGATTGGTGGATGAGACTTCGTTGTCCCAATATAGAACAGAGCAGCAACCTGGGGGAAACAAACTGTCAGTAAAATAGATAAAAGAGCACTTCTCCAATGAAGCTCTAAGAAGTTTGCTGAATGGACACCTCTTGGTACTGCTGGCTCCAAGGAGGCTTCCCAGTTGCCATCTCAATCATCGTACAGCCAACGCTCCATATATCAGCAGAGCTAAGGAATTATTTCCATTAGATATTAGCAAGATTTGGTTTGCTAAATCAAATTATGAAAAATGAAGTCAAATGTACAAAACAAAAGGAAAATAAGAAATACAATCTTGAGAATGAAATATTCTTATTATATCAAAACTTATATAATATACTGTGCTATATCCAGAAACAATCACTCTTCTCTCATGCACATGATCATGTAGATTTTTGAGGGATTGCTTACAAGCTATGCCCAGTCTGGAGAATAACTTCAGGAGCCATCCAATAAGGAGTGCCCTTCATAGACTTGGCACCCGAAACGGTAGCCTAAAATGACAAGTACCAGGTTAGATAGAATCTTCCATGAAATATCATTTAAGGATAAAACAGTAGAGAAAGTCAACTACCAGCTCCACAACTTGCTTGGACGCACCAAAATCTGCAAGTTTAATGCATCCTTTATTATCTACAAGAATATTTGCCCCCTGAAGATAGATAAAAGGGGCATATCATCTGATATGAAATGTCGAGATAGATACCATGTGTCTTTACCAGATGTAAATTAAGGGAAAATAAAGGTACCTTAATGTCCCTGTGCATAATTCCATTGTTATGTAAATATTCCAGCCCTAACAGCAGTTGCTTTGTGTATGTTCTCATAACCTGCATAATAAATACAAATACAAAGATTAGCATTTAAAAGAGCTGCAATTCAAGAGCTCTATAGAAAACACTTACAGCCTCTGGGAAGGGTCCAAATTTGCCCAAAAGAGATGATATTGATCCACCAGGAACAAATTCCAACAGAATATTTAAAGTTTCCTCCTCCCTTACCGTACCCAAGTATCTCTAAAATTCATCATATCACACCCAGTTAGGAACATAACACGGCTCCATAATGCACTCAGAAAGAGGAAATCATTACTCACTACAATGTTTGGATGGGAAAGATTCTTGAGAAGTTTCACTTCCTCCTCAAGGTCCTTGATGTGTGCCTACTTATACCAACAAGAACAAAGGTAAATTAGGTTAGAATGTGGTTATTATTCGCGGATCCACATCAGCTAACAAAAAGATGTAATTCATAAAACTTATGAATCTTACAGTTAACCAGCAACAAAATTCACAATGTTAAGATTTGTTATTCGATGAAGGCAATGAGAAGAATCCTTTTAAACTCCTTAATAATTTTTTTTGGTTGAAATCAGAATAATTTTTTAGCTAATGAGGACATAAGAAACACATAACATTTGTGATTTACAAGGTTGAGTTTTTATTGAATCCTCTAAAAATCCACTAACAAGTTAGCATTAAAGAAGATAGCAATACTACAGAGTACAACACGAGAAAATGAACAAGCTAACATTCTAAATTTCTGATTGACTCTAGGTTAGAAGTAGGATGTGTTATTATCCAGAATAGATTATAAGAAGAAGAGAAACAGCAACAGAGAATAAGGGACAATGCAAAAGAATTTCAGACAGTCAAAGGGATGAAGCACAATGAAAAATTAACCACAAAAGGACAAAGTGGAACCTGAGCTTTTTCCTTGAAAGCACTATTGGCTGCAACCAAGACCTGATGCTCCCCTCCAAACCAAATCCATAGTCAGATTAACATCAAAACTATCAAAAACCCAAAACCACAATTAAGGAAAAACTTGAACCTGGATAATATTATCAAAATTCAAAGGAGAAAAAAAAAAAACTTAAATTAGCATATTCTGAAACTGGAATTTACCCCAGTTAACTAACCAAAACTCATTGATTATCCACAATAAAGAACCAGAAATTGCAACCAAATCTCCAATATGTTCAAAACCCATATCAAAATCCAACAACGACGAACTGAAACCCATGGTGCAAACACTTTCCATGAAACTTGGCAGGTTTACTGAGAACAGACTGAAACCCAAACTTCATAGTGGCAATAAACCAAAACGCATTTCAGGGAAAAATAAAAACCCACCCAAATGCAACAATCCGCACTAGAACCAAAACCCAGTCAGGGTCCCAAACACAAAATTAACTGCAATACACAGAAATCGAACTCCAAGAAAACAGGAGCAAGTTCGGTATGGACGGAAAACTTAGCAGCAAAGAAAAACTAACCTGCTTCACAGCCAAAAGCTCCCCCGAATCAAGATTCATCCCCATGTAGACTCTCCCAAAAGCGCCGCAACCGATCAACTCGCCTTTGCGCCAGCGGATCGGAGGCGCCATTTTGGGAGGAGGAGATTGGGAAGGAGAAGGAGAAGATGTTTTGGAGAACACCCGTGATTTCCGAATGCAAGAATTGATCTTGTCGACAAGGGCGCCTGCAAGTGGTAATGGTGGCTGAGGTGGGTTGTTCTCTTGATTCTCCGGTGCTGGACGGAACACCAGTGATCGGCGAACTGATCCGAAGAGGTCCTGCATCGAGAGAGAAACGAATTGGGGAATGCAGGTTACTTGGGATGTTTCATTTGGTCGGCAAAAGGGGGTGAGAAAATGAGAAAGAGAGAGGGGAGGGAAAAGGTGATGGAGATTCTTTTTTCAAAAAAAGAGAAATTAAAAATGAAATTTAAAAATTAAAAAAAAACAAAAACAAAAAACAAAAAACAAATTTCCATAACAACGCCGCGGTATTTTCCTATTAATTTATTATTATTTTTTAAATAAACTTAAACATGATTATAATTATTATTTTTAAAATTAATTGAGAGGTAATAAATTAAATATTAAGTTCTTAATAATTTGAATTATTTTTTTTACATAACCGAATTTATGTATTTTGTTTTAACATCCCATTATAATTAAATAATTATAACATAATCAGAATTATGAAAGTAAAATAATAATTAGATTAATCCTGATCTTACTGTAAATTAAGCATCTAATTTTATAATTAAATAATTATAGTTTGATTTTTTAATATGGGTTTTGGAATTTTTTTTTTAGGGGAATTAGGAATTTTTAATTGTTGATAATTAAATTATTAAATCGATTTAAAGGTAATTCTTCTGTTTAAAAATTTTAGTGGTGAAAATAGATATATTTTCACAATTCACTTTGTTTATATAATTTTCTTTGGTTATTTTATAATAAGACAATAAATAAAATACAATTCTTATATTATATCTCTGCTAAATAAATCAAGAATTTTTGTGAATTTAATTTAAAAACTCCTTAGAAAGTTTAACTCAAAAATGAAAAAATTAAGTTGATAAAACAAATCAAGGGAGAAAATCAAGCCTGCAATCTATTTGTATAGATTTTTTTTTTTTTTCCTCAATAAATCTATTTGTATAGATACAGGAAACAAATAATATTAACTGAAGTTGATCAAGAAGTACAACAATGGAGAGCTTGAGAGCTCGTTTCACTGAACCAGATGGTACTGTCTAGGATCCTTAATTCTGATCCTCCAATGTCTATCACTAAAACTACCGTTCTCCGCTCTCCCTCTCAACTTCGTCATCCTCGTCACCATCGCCTCCGTCAACCCACAAAATCTCTGCAACTCCACCGGCAACAAATCATAAACCTCCCACCACTTCTCGTGCGCAGAATCACTCGCAAACCTCCACCTATCCTTCATGTCCCAATTACAATCATAATCTCTGTAGCATATCCATGGCTTCCACCCCAAATAATGCAAAGCATACACGTCGTCTCCTACCTGCCGCTTCGCATTCTCCTTCTTAAAAATCTTCAGCTTGTTCACCTTCGACGGCCACCTATGCCACCACGTGAACATCTCGTTGAGAAAACCCTGGTCACCCCCGTTGTAGGATTTCACCTTAAAGCTTTGCCCCATCATTTCCTCAAAAGCACATACGGAAGGCTCCACCAACATCAACCCGGAATTGAAAATAAACCTGTCGTTGGGTGCGGCGGAGAGCTGGGGGTAAGTGAAGAGGTGATCGATGTTTCGGAGGACGAGGAGATCGGCGTCGATGAAAATGAGTTTTTCGTATTTGGTGAGTTGCCAGACTCGGAGCTTGCTGTAATTCCATTCGTTGTACGAGTTTTGTTTGGCGAAAGGGTTGCGGATGCGGTGGACGAGACGGGTTTTCCAACCGGCGGCGCGGAGGGCGCGGACGGAACGGGTGGTCAAGAAATTGTCGTGGAGGAGGAGGAGGACTCGGGTGGTGTTCGTGCGCCGGAGGCTCTGGGCCAGGGCGATCGCGCCGCAGACGTAGGATTCGGAGGAGTGGAGGATGGTGACGTAAGCTTCTTTCCGGGAGTTACTGGTTCCGTTGACTTTTGACTTTGAAAATGATCTCCAGATTTCTTTTCCTGTTGCAGCCATAGGTAAATTATTAAGAACAGTATTTGCATTTCTACCGCTATATTTTAAGGTAATTATACAACGTGCATCGGTTTTCAATATATTATACAATTAAACCCCATTTGGGTTCTAGTGTAGTTGGTGGTGGGTCTGATTATACATATATATATACATATATATATATATATATGTATATATATATATACAGGGATGAATATCGAAGAATAGTGACTGCTCAACCTCTCCCAGGAGAAATCTTAGTCCGTCAATGTCAACTAATTAGTTTAGTTAGTGATTAATACACATTTTCTAAAACTCGAACGAATTTTAAAATTAGATTATTCACTTGTAGACTATAACATTTGTTGCAATTTAGTCCTAATAAATCAAACTTTGTACCCAGTACCAACTTACAAAATTAAAGTTTGCTCAAGAACAGACTATTTCCTTGAGATTATATAACATTTTGGTAATATATCTATATATATAGATATACATATATATATTTATCTAAGTTAGCTTAACTACCATATGAAATAAAAAGTATTATAATCAAAATCAAACTAAACCTTACCTGTCTGCGACCATGGAGGAGCAATCTGGCATGAACCGACCGGCATTAGCACCTTCTGCTTCAACCTCCTCATTTCCGGCTTATAAACCCAGTAATCCCCTACATGCTTCACACGATCATCGCACCTGAACATCTCTTGCATAGGCCCGCACGATCCCACAAACACAACGTACGCCGTCCGATCAATCTCGTCATCGTCGTCATAATCGCCGATTCTCCCATTTTCCACCACTAAATTGGCGACCACCAGATTAATCTGCAGCCGCACCACATCCCTCACTCCCCCCTTATCCGACGTCGTACCGCACGGAACCTTCGCCACCACAACGTCCAGTCCCCGGTACTTGTCGTCGTCCAGCGGCGGCATCGGGATCTCCGGACACCGCGGGGCCCGCCACTTATGCTCTTCGTCAATCCATTCCGGGAATAAATTTTTCCATTTCAGCTCCTTTGAGACCGGCCGGAAATGAACGTGGACAGTCTCAGCTACCGACTCGTCGACCTGGTACTTACCCTTTACGTCGTCGTTTAAGTTCACGAGAGCCACCTTGATCTTCCTCCCACTACTGAGCTTCTCCTTGACTAGATCGTACCAAACGGGGTGCGTTATATTACCTGCGTGATCGTCGATCAAATCGATCGGACGATTATCAGACTGGAGCCGGCGGTCAATGTCGTTCAAATTCGCAGAAAACGGCCTGATGGAGAAAACGAGGACTACGAGGAAGAAGGAGAGGCTTAAGAGAGGGATAAGGAAGAATTTGTGGGAGCTTAAGGGCTTAGCCGGCATGTTTCTGGGCTGGATTAAGCTCTCTCCACGTCTGTTTCCGGGATTTGAAGAGACGATTTATACAGAGAAGAGAGGAGAAGGGGGTTGGTGTAAGAAGCGTTTTTGCATGGCTGCACGTTGGCCGTTGAGTGGAATTGTCAATTTGTCTTATTATTGGCTTTGAGTCTTCAGAGTACAAAATCTCACGCGCTTATATAGTGCGTGACTTGGCTTGTATCGGTACTCCATGATATGGATTTTCTTTACCTCAAAAAAAATTAAAAAAGAATCTTCTTAATTTTGGGATGGATTTTGTTAATTAGGATTCTTATTGCTTAAGTAATAATCATAAACACAATTTATTAAATAATATTATAAATTATTCGTATTTTTAATTAAAAATTATTATTCTATGCCCTAAATAACGTGTCGTGTGACAATTAAATCTTAAAATATTATTTTTTTCACAACTTAATTCTGAAATTAGTTGGTATTAATTTTAATAAATTGAATAATCAAGGATAATAAATTTTACTTTGTTTAATCCAGTGAGGTTAATTAATTTTAAACGTTACAATAACTATTTTTATGTCATAATTCATTTCTTACGTCACCTAAATATCCTCTGAAAATTGAACGAAAATTACGTGCTACCCAGGGGAGTCAGCCGAAGTTGGTTTTTTTTTTTCCGACCCGCGGATCACGAGGATTACCACGTCTGTGACGTGAAGTTCTATAATGTCGCGAGTAACAATATCATTCCCCTCAAAAAAAAAAAAAGAATTTGCCAAATGAGGAACATATTTTTGATATTTAATATTTGGGGTCGCTCATTTTTTATATTTATAATTCAACCACCGAGGAGTAGTAATTAAACCACTGCCTTAATTAGTTAGATTAAGAATTGGAGAGTAATAATTATGGCTAGACGTTACGGTCAGCAACAAATCCACACCGTTCAATTATATGTATATCATTAAATAAACGGCTGGGATTCTTTTGAATCAGTTGCTGCTAAGCTTGTATTATATTATTATCCACTATGCTAAAATAAGTTGTATAATCCCAAATTAGCCGTCATAAATATTGTTGACTAGGTACAGCTGACATTAAATATAAAAAAGGAATATATATGTATTCCTCAAATTGTATATTCTGAATTTGTGATTAATTCAAGATTGTTCGTGCATTTAAAAGTTATCTTCGAACTGAATAGCAGTCTTACAGTTTAAATTCTGAACATAATACTTAACAATAAAATAATTTACATCGACGCTAATCTCTACATTGTTCAAACGATATAAACTTAGTTAGAACATGATTGAAATATCATGTTTACAGAGAAAATAATCATTGCGCTGACCGCCTGACTAATCAATCATTCTTCGCTCCTCTTTAGCAATCAGATTCATAGTTATCTATCTACAACACTTCTGAAAATTATAAAAGAAAATTTTCATCGATGTTTTTTGGTTTAAAATTTACAATATTTAAATGTTGTATTATTTAACATTCATTTTATTATATTAAAAAAATAAAAAATTAAATTTAATATAAAATATAACTCGTAATAAAGTTGAGGGTATAAATCGAATCATATATTAATTTATTTTATTTTTATTTTTTTAAAAAAATTATTAAAAAATAAAAGCGTAGAAATTATATAATGAATTTTCTAAATTATTTTATTTCTAATGCACTAAAAAGAAGTGGTAGGACAAATTTTTTGTTTTTTCAACTACTCTCTATTGTATTAGAAAGTGTTGGAAAGGTAATCAAACCAACCTAATCAAATTTTATATGTAAAGTAAACCGTGAGATTTAATTCATAGCTACTCTAGCTAGCCTTATTGAGATATAACCTAAAAAAAATGGCTTTCTCGTCTAACCCTAAGATTCTTTGGAGTAAAATTTAAGTTTATAATTCAAAAAGAACTAATTTGAGATGTATAAATACATAATTATATATTTGTCAACAAAATTAATTCTTAAATCACACACAAAGGTAGAAAAGAGAGTAATACAAAATTCAACAGGGTGCCTACGTCTACGGATAACACTAGTAAAAAATTATTTTACTATAGTAAAAAAAAAAATTTATCGTTGGTAAGTTTGCAAACATATATATATATGGAGTTTTTTTCAAAAAAATTTACGGTGGTCAACAATATTTTATAGTATATTGTATTTAGACCCAAAAAATTTGATTCAATTGTAGTCTAAATTTTATGTGTAAAAAATTAAATTTGTTTAACACCGGAAACAAGCAAGCATTCCCTTTAGCTAAAGTTCTCTGCTTTGTATCTTTCTCTTTACCTTTAATTTATATTGTTTTTTAGAGAAATTTATAATGTATATGTACATTAAAATTGTAACGTTAATACGTATCTCTGGTTAAATGTCTATTATATGTTTCCCGTTTCTTTTTTCTTCTCCATCTATACATTATTTTTCTATATGTATGTATGTATGTATGTATGTATGTATGTATGTGTGTGTATGTATACCAATTAATTTGTGTAAGGTTGAATAATGGCACCAAATTGACCCCACTACAGGTAATGGAGTTCTTTTCATTCTAACTTTTCGTAAGTCTGTATATATATATATATATATGTTCCATAGTGACTTTACCTTAAAGAAAAGAATGTAAATAACATATACCCATAATATTAAAATACTAACTACAAACACACACACACACACAAACACATATTTTATAATATATACCCATAATGATAATAGTTTATACAGTGTATCCACTACTTGAGATTTTTAGAGGTTCAAATTCTAGTCTTCCTCGTATAATTTGGTTTAAATCCCAGAAAGATTCTGGCCCGAGTTATTTTTTAGTTCTTCACTATTCCTCTGCGCGTATAAATATATAGAGACACATGTATAATCATGCCAGCGAGTCACCCTAACAAAGCTGCTTTTGTTATGAGCTATGGCGACAGCTACATCCGCCGGGAAAGGTTCAGAAAGCTATTCGTTAATGGGTCTGTTGAGCGAGTTCAAGACCGTGAAAGCTGGTTCAGCTCGGAGACCGAGAGTTCTATATCTGGTTTCTTCCCTTCTGGAGAGAAGCATTGGGAAGAGCAAAAAGAAATTGTTGGAGCTGTTGGGACCGAGACGTCGGGAATTAGAAGATGGAGTAACGATTTTTGACAGGACAAGAGCGCCGTCCCTGAGCATCGGACAGTATCTAGATCGAATTTTCAGGTACTCGAGTTGCAGTAATTCTTGCTTTATTGTGGCTTTGATATACATGGATCGATTTCTCCAGAGGACTGGTGCTTTTCTTACTTCCCTCAATGTTCATCGCCTTGTGATCACTAGCGTCATGGTCGCTGCGAAGTTCATGGACGACGAGTGAGTATACCTACGTACATACACATATGTATATGTATGTTATATCATTACTTGTATATACACATATTAATTTTTTAATCTTAGTTCATATTTGATTACCAGAATAATTTGCAATTTCTACCTCAGTACTTGCAGAAATCGATGTCGGACAAATTAAAATTTAATTTCATACGGTTTAGTTTTCTTGAAACTTAGACTGTGCTTCTCTTTTGATTTATTTACCAGATATGAATTAGGAATCCAACTCCAAAAAAATTCCAAGTTGCGGATAGCATTGATTTTAATACAGAAACTGGTTTGAAGTTCAATACTTGCAGGGACTTCTCTTCATTTAATTATATTCTTATTGAATATGCAGGTGCTATAGCAATGCTTATTATGCTAAGGTTGGAGGTGTAAGCACAGCAGAAATAAACAACTTGGAGATAAAGTTCCTCTCCACTTTGGATTTTAGACTCCATGTGACCACAGAAGTCTTCGATAACTACTGTATCCAGCTACGAAAGGAAGGAACCGCGGCTAGCAATAACCAAACTGACCGAGCCCCTTGAGGTCCGTGGCTCAGCCGAAACAAATAAACAAGGAAAATTATGTGCTTCTGAATCGGTTTTCTAAAATTTTCATGTAAGCAAGCACTTAAACAATGTGTAACTTTATCTAATTACCGCGAAAGCTAAGTGATTACTATATAAAACTTGGCGTAATAATGAGACCCGAACAAACAAAGATAAGGTGAACAAGCAACTTGTAAACCATATCCAGATAAAAAGTGTTAACAAACTTCTAAACTGGAACTTCTAGCCTGTATAAAATAATTGCTGATTTAATCCAAATTCCCATTCTGAATATTCTCTTTTTCCTAACTAAAACCAAAAAAGCTTATGGAGATGAGCCTAAATTTTCCTCTCCCCCAGCCTGAGGGCCTGCACAGGCCATTCTTTTCCTTCTTCCGCTTTCTTCTTTTCCTTTGCTAAGTATTGGGGCATAAACAGGGTCATCTATGCAGAAAAATATAATCATCTGAAAGGCAGATGACAGTAAAACATGCAAGATATGATAAACTCAACAACCCTCAAAAGGCAGTCACAAAAAATTTTCTTACAAAAACACTCTAGTCTCAATGTGGATAGCCCGACTTTTATAGAACCAAGAAACTAAATCTCAGTGCACAAAAGTTAAACCTCTAAATCCCAAAAAAAGAAGGAAAAAACTCTAATATCCAGTTCAGGAATTAACATAAAGGACAAAGACATGAAGTCCGGAGACGGCGTAGCTATCATTTTGTCCAAAATGTATATTCAATTTAAATTCAAAGGTAAAATCATTAATCAAGGAACTAATGCTGCAAATGATCAATTAAAAACACCATACATTCGATACATGTTAGCTTGTTACACATTCAACACTAAGCAAACAAGTCGTAATCCAGTAAAAAGAGAAAACATGTATAATAGCTCCCTGTTATTTAGAAACACCAAACACAGTGCAGAAAAGAAGCATATTGCATTATACTCAGAAGAAAAAAGGTTTAACTGAGATTATCTCTAACAAAATTTCTTTTTTTTTTTATTGCACAAGCCCTGCACAAGAACCCAATCCATCATTATCTGTCAACATTCTACAAAACTCTTCCACCCAAACTATCCCACTCTAAATATTTCTGAGAACAGCAAGAGCTGAAAGGTAATTTAATAAGTTATGACAAGTAACTGAAATTTGCATCTTCACTATGGATGAGCCAACGCGGGTATCTGATGATATTGGGCGAGAGGTTGAATAATTGTTATACTTAAGAGAAAGAGAAGGTACCGACTATCAGCTGATCTTCATCCCTCAGCTGGAGGAACTCCTCCTTGCAGCATAAACACGATATGCAGCCAGTCCAACTATGGCCACTGCAGCTCCAACTACAAATTGCGCACAGTAGACAATATAGAATGTTATTACCAATAAGGCAACATATTTCCCAATTACAACAAGATGGAATAAATTAAATGGCATTAAACTTAGAAAATTGGGAAGAAAAGACTTCTGACGGTTTTATAAATTAGCTAATGCCAAGCATATGTGGTTTCAAGTAGTTCAATTGAAAAATTAAACACTATTGACAGCCAAAAATAGATCATGTACCCGAAACAAACATAAGAGAGCGGTTTATGAGTCGGTGATATTGCTTGCGGCTTCTTCCAGCTTCTGTTTCAGGAATACTTAAATGAGGATGCTCGGCCGCACTTAAAATCCTACGGAATAAGTTACTGAAATCACCCAACTTCGAGCTGATGGGGATAGGGGCCTCAATTCCCATATCTTGACTAACCTGCAAAATTTACAACCAAGATACACCATCATATCAGGGAAGTTCAAATCGAATTGCAATGCAGCTTATACCAAAAATATTCTCCATTGAATTGTACATAAATTACATATACATCGCGGTTCAACTCAACGATGCAACTAAAATTTAAACTTAAGTATGGAAACCAGCAAGCTCAAAAAAAATTCCGCATTCTCCAAGATTGCTCCATCTTTTTCCAAATAAATCTGAAGAGTACAAGCAAAACAAACCATGTCCATTTGCTTTATACAAGCTACAAATATCCTATACTAAATATAGAAGTGAAGTTTCTGCAAATCATTTATGTGCTGCCAGAGCCAGTGGAAAAAGTAAATACCCTGGTAGGCTCCTGTATTGCCATCGGAAATGAATCCAAATCATCTTTAGCCGCAACAATAAGGCAAGGTACCTCAAAGCCATTATCCTCACCATGGCTTGCAACTTCCACGAGCAACTCAGTTGCCCTCTTCCATGACGAGGCATCCGAACTGCAAAAGCAAAAGGCACACGACTTAAGATAACAAGCACACCTGGAACAAACTTAATAACTCAAAGGCTTCCTCTATCCCCTCCCCAGAGTACTATGGTAAAAGCCCTACCGCACACCATCTGTCAACAACAAAGAACAAGATGTACCTGTCATACACAAACAATGCGATGTCACAAGGAGCCAAAGATTCTTTGCTTGACAACAGTTTCGATACCATGTCTTCCGGTATCTCTCGCAGAACAAGTGTTTTCTTTATGCCCTGAGAATAGAACAGTGAAATTATCTTATTGAACAACTAAGAAAAAAAACATGCGAATTTTCAATTCTCGCATTTCTCTCCAAACAAAGGACACATAACCAAGCAAAAACAGCGCCACTCTGAAAGCATATTATGATCCTCACTTAACTCGAAGCCAAACAAGGCATAGATGAAGATCTCTAAGTTTGAAGCACACAACCAAGAAACACCAAAAGAAGAAAAATGTTTCGTAGTCTAGATTCTCCAAGTGATAACATAGTGAAGGAAAAATTATCCAAGAAAACGTGGACATTGCTTTTCTCATATAACTGCTTGAGTTATACATGCATATTTGTTTGTCTTTACGGAAATTCTAAAGGGGAGGAACAAAGGCACACATCTACATATCAATAACTAAGTATAGCAATTACGGAAAAATCTTAAATGTTGAATTAATTCGCTCCTGGAGAACTCAGCTCTGCAATTTTCACCTCAAATATTTGTTGGTAGCAACACTACTTTGCACCAAGGGATTTATTAAGTTCAGAATATCAAAATAATACATACCTATAACAGAATGTTAAAATGTTAAATCTTTTCTGTAAACATAATCAAAATGCCCAATCAAAACAGTAGAACTCACCCCTGGCCCTGCTTGATCAACGATATTTACTGCATATCGCTCGTCGGTAGTAGACGTATAAGTATCAGAATAGGGCCTACATTTACAAACGAAGGATAATATACATCGATACCTTTTTAAAAATTAACAATATACATGAATATTAGTTAGATTAAATTAGAATACCATCAATATAAAGATGTAAAAACAAGTGATATTTTGGAATTATGTAGACTCATCAGATATAGATCAAATAATAAACCTTCCAATAAAAGAATTCAACAATGCAGATTTTCCAGCATTCCTTGGCCCAAAGACAAAGCACTGGAAAACGTTTCTCTCTGATTGTTGCTTTTTCCGATCCAAACGTCTTCTCCTTGTCACACGGATTGCAGAAGATTGATCAGCAGGATATCCAATGTATATTAGATTTTCAACACTGCGTGCTGGGTCCAAAAGTGTCATTAGAGCCCACTGCAATAGACACCAGTTAAATCAATTAAAAGAAGCTGTTATAGGAGAACATAAAGTCTCCCCTTGAAATGATAGCAAATTCGATAACAAATAGTGCAGCACTCAAGTAACAAAACCCAAACTCATGCCCCAGAAATTGCCATCTGCTGCCTACCATGGCAATAATAAATCATATACTAAGAAGGAAGAATGCAACAGATTGAGGGACATAAGGTTTATGCAATTTTGCTATCACCAGTACCTATTGATGTACAAGAACAAAGAATACATTGTCGAGAGAGAGTGATAGAGAGATTTTAAAAGAATAAATACCTCTGATATAAAAGCATTAAGTAGGACGAATGCAAATTGCCCAGAGAGAGAGAAAGAGAGAGAGAGATTTTAAAGGAATATATACCTCCGATATAAAAGCATCAACAGATAGGCCTCCCAATGCAGTTCTCTCTGCAGCATCCTTATATGGAGATTCATCCCAAGGACTGCACATACAGAAGAACCCACAAGTAGACAAGAAAATATTCCTTTAGCAGCTCATGACAATCTCTATATAAATGATAATAAACACTACGAAGAATATAAGCAGCAAAAGTTAAGAGGGAACTCGGCTTATAAGCATCCCGCTCAGTTCAGCGTTCATGGTAAAGTCATAAAGATCTAATCAGCAGGTGCTTATAACCACCTTTTAGGCAGGAACAAATAACCACCATGATCTTTATGTCTATGCTGTTAACAATTCCTAAATACATGATAATAAAGACTACAAAGGATATAGCAGCAAAAATTAAGAGAGTCCTTGGATTAACATGCTTATAAGAACCCCACTCAGTTCAACCTCCATGGTAAACGTGTGAACATCATCTAATTAGAAGGTGCATATAAACCACCTTTTCAGCAGGGAAAAAAATAACCATGACAGCTTTTAACTTTATGTCTATGCTTAAAGTTACCTATTTATACCTACATATTTATTTTTTTTAAAAAAATTATAAGTGTTTATCCTTTTGCAATAAGAACTTTTATCTAAATAAATAACTTTTTGTTTTTTTAAATCAATAACTATATCAAAGTTGCTTATAAACACGATGCTTCATGTGTCTTTCTTTAAGAAAACATGAACACCCTCTAAGTTTTAGGCATGAAACACTTAAATACATACAGTTCAGTGCAACAGCTAGTAGCTATCACGAAAGGAAAGGAACACTATAGAGTTAAAACATATTAATATGACAGACAGGTTTCTAGAGAAGAATTACAATGGATAGAACACACAGAGCAGAGGATGATAATGTACAAAAGACAAAAAATTTTATAAAAATAAAAAAGACACAAAATTTAAGATATTATCCTCTCAAAAGAAATTTTGAATACCTTTCAGGGGCAGTAGAAAAAATGTCATCGATTTCATAAGGTCTTAGGTTGTTATCCTGGTAAAACAATACCCATTTGTCAGAAAGCTGAGAACTTGAAGAACTTCTTTGGCAGATATATCTATAGGTTAGACTCTAATGAAGTTTACATAAAATAAACAGAAATCTGGTCGAGACAGTTAAAAAGAAGACTGCTGATGGAGGAAGAGATAACTGTGACATACAGCATCACTATCAAACAACTCGTAGATTCCAGTCAAGAATTCAACAGCTTCGTTTGTCAGCTCCACACTCTACACAGAAGACAATAAGAATTAAATTTATGCAGAGAAAAGCATAGGATGTCTATTAAACAGAAATTACAAAGATAAGGATAAGAGGTTATCTAAAGCAGCTTCAAACAGAATTACACACTAAATCTGCTTGATGACAGGCAAGACCATCAAACAGAACATCTGGAGAAGGATAAGATATCAATTTTATATACAATCTACCAAAAATTTCTGCCAGGCAAAAACCATGCTGCCTGGTCAAGGAATATCCAGCCAAACAATTATTGCTTCTCACTTAAACTCCCAAGCCTTTGTTTTAGACAAATATTGATCCAATCTAGCGTTCCATTTTTTTTTTTTTTTGCTGCAAACTCCATTGTCCAAAAGTTTTTCACTCTTTATCTGATGATCACTGAAAGGACTTATTAGTGGCAAATTTCATAGCTTTCAGAAGTGAAAATCATTTAATATCATGTCAATGACATTTTCACTCCACTTTGAGCAATCAAATAAAGGAAACACCAGCAGATAGTGCAAGATCGTACTGCTGATTGGACAAGGACAACTTCAATTATTATGGAACGAATGATGTTACCTGATCAGGAGCTCGTTTAAATGACGAATGTGGAATCAACTCATCTGCAAGTTTAATATCATTATTGTATCCAAATTTTCGCAGGACAGTCCAAGTTGTCTCAAGACGCCCTTTCTCTATGAATAATGCATGGAGAAAGAGAAACCCAGTCAATGTCAGTCCCCGTTCATTAACTCCTTCAGGTAACTTGTCTTGCACAACCCTCTTGACACCAACTATTTCAGAAGGTTGCAATGGTGCATTGAAACATTTTACCTGTTTAAAATGATTAACATCAGCAATTCAGAAACCTAAATGACAGGCACTAAAATTTCAAATTTACAGCACTTGTTTCAGAAAAGCTTAATGTTAACATCAGATAACACCAAAAAAATACAAATGAACAGATCAAGAGAAGAAAGTGAAACCTGAAAATCATTCAACTCAGCATCACTGAGAGCGCCATCCCTATCATGATCACAGAGAATGAAAATACGCTTTAAGGCTCGCACACAGCGGGGCTTCAAAGTTTGAGATTCTTGATCAAAGAGTGGCCCAGTAGGGTGAAGCACTGCTTTTTGTGCATAATAGAAAACCTCTGGGATCTACATGCACAAACTTTAACATTAATTCAAAACTCAAAATTGCCACTGTTTCACTGATCCATAATCAGCGTCGACAAATTAGCTGAACAAGAAGCTCATAACATCAAAAATGATACTCTTGCTGAAAGAGTTTTTCAAAAGAAAAAGGTATAAAAGATATATAACAGAAAGACTCATTTCTAGTTGAAAAACTCATAAAAGTCCATTCTTTCTCTCAAAAGCTTGATATGGATCCAAAATGCAAGAATGATGGTACAAAGTGCTTATGCATAAACAATAAAAAATGTCCAATAGGAAGGAGAAAATCATAAAGCAAAACCTGCATATCACTGGCTCTAACACTGTAGAGCATCCAATAAGCAACATTATGAAATTGAACAGAATAATTTACATTAGTACCCTAGAGAATAATGTAAAAGTAATAACAGATATCAGCGGTTCCAAACACACCTGAATATGTTTATAAGCTGAGCATTCAATACAAGTCTCAATTTCCCGAAACTGTTGCATTATCGGTGACATAACTTGTTCCAGACTCACTTGGTGTTGTTCATCTCTTAAGTCCAGCTTACAGCCCACCACTATAACTGGAACTTTCACCTGCTCAACACCAGTAACGGACATAATAACAGATCTAAAACCAATATTACTTCAACTAGTCTATCAAAATAAAAGATAAACTCTATCACTTTTTGCCAAAAAAATCCTGAATCATGAAAATAGAAAAAGAATAATGAACTGAAAACAATAGCTTCAAAAAGAACAACTTCATGAAGTTTTTCACCGCATTAAGGCAAAAATCGGCGTCTTTGCCTATAAATCAGATTTCCCTGAATGCGATAACAACTAAATGAACAAAGGCAGGAAAAAAATTAAACTTCTTTAAAAAATTTGTATAAACCTCTAATTGACGAAGCTCTGGAAGCCAGTATTCACTCAACCGATCAAGGGTCTTTGGCTGATCACATGCATAAGTAAGCACAACTGCATCAGCCCGCATCAGTTCTTCAGCAAGTTTACCTCTATCCTCCGGTCTGTGTAAAATGAAGGTTACGTCAAGGAATCATTAGAATCAGGAAATTAAATGCAAAAACCATGTAAAAATAACATTAATGCAAGGTGTGATTAAGTTTGTGGATTCCAGCTGGCTTAGCTGTGAAGTTATAATATAACACGACAACTAGATAGATGCCATGCATACACGTAACTTGCTAGCCCAGTGACTTTCAATCGAAAAAACTCAATTGGAATCTTATCTGTAATGTGAAAAAGGAAACTACCATCACCCTAATTAAGTTAACTGCCTTTACTTGGAAATTCACCGAGTGTTTCACCAAGCAATGCAGTGCCACTAGTAATACTTGGTGCAAAAGAAAACTCGCATTTAAAATATTGTCTTTCTAATTTTGAATCCTCTCTGAGAGGATGAAAACATAAAAGCCTAAATAAAGGTAAACGAATAGCACCCTTAACTTAATTAGCATAAAACTCTGCTATCCTTCACATTCACAACCAAGAAAATTCTCGAGAACCGAAGACATAAAAACCTCACATAGAACGCAAATTCAAAGACTTTAGCCTCTAAAAGGAATTTTATTTGTTCTAACGAATAGCAGACAATGCCAGGAGACAAAGACAATGGGGCATGACAAATATACCTGGAAGAGGTATCAATGATGGTGATTGGAACACGATCAGGGTAGATGTCTTCAGGCAACCGGGTAGGAGGCAAAAGAGGCGGGACATTAGTGGGGAAATTTTCAGCAGCAGCAGTGACAATCAAGCTTGATTTTCCAGTACCCTGCTCCCCCGCCACCACAATTCGCACCCCAGCTCGAGCCCCCGGATACCCCGTTCCAGCTGACTGTTTCGCCATAAAGAAACTAAAAGAGCAACAACAAGAAACGTGTATCAATTAAAAGTTCCGACTCCATCCGATTATATTGGAAATAAGTGGTAGATGCAATGGACATATTTCTATATTAAAAATATAAAATTCAAGCCCAAATCTGAAGGTTCCAAAGTTTGGATTAGCTAAATAGATTTGGGAGACAATAAACGGCAAAACCCTAACTAGCATCAATTATAATATAAAGCCAAGATGCAGTTGCCAAAAAAATTAGCCTCTTCAATTTGGAGTTAAGATTCTGATCCACCGATTTTGTTTTGTGAATAAACCAGAAACCCCAGAGCCAGTTAAGAAAAGAAAACACAAGAAGAACTTCGACGTCCTTCTATCTGTTAGCTACATGCGGAGTTGAAAGAAGATGCAAACAGGCAAGAATTAGTTCCGATGAGTGAAAATTCACGTCACGAAGATGCAGGAACATAGAATCCCTAGTTCATGATGAATCGAACTGGGGAATAACATATACGTAAATAACCTGGACATTGATGAATATGCGTGCTTTTAGTATTTCACTTGCTCGAGGTTGAAGAAAGACTCACCAAAAACCCTAGACTTGGGGTGTTGGTGGCTATGGAGGCTTTTAGAGAAGACGTGCTGCCGGGGCTGGTTCAGACTTTAAGTAATACTTCGAGTTTGACGGAAATTTCTTTTTCTTTTTTTTGTTTTTCTTCTTCTCTGTGAAGACAGATTTTAAACGTTGGATATCACTTGCGTTCATTCAACGGCTGAGATTTTAGGAAGATGTTCTTCTCGAAACGTTTCCTTATTAATTACCAAAATTTTCCTCTTTTAAACAAGATTGTTTCACAATATAATTCAATATTCTAAATTTATTTAAATAAAGATTCTTTATATTTATATCATTATATATTTAAATATTATTTTTAAAAAAATAAATTATCAGAAAATATAATTTATTTACTATTTAAGTAAGATAGTTTCCCAATTAATGTTGGAAAATTATCTTTTAAAGTATATATTATAAAATTAATTGTAATTTAATTGATTATTTTTATAAATAGTAATTTGGTTATTTATAAATTATTATATTTCATTGACTATATATATTTTTAGTATATATTATGTATACATTGAATTTATTTTCCTTGTATTCTCCCCGTAACTTTTTTTTGTCACCATATAAATTAAAATATTTGTAATTTTCCAATTTTTAGTATAATATTTATTATTTTGCTATAGCTTTATTGTGACATAAAACAATAATATTCTTATATTTACAATTTTATTTATGTTGCAAAATATCTATATATAATCGAAAGCATATATCATACTCTAAATGTAAAATAAGTAGATAACACGACGTGAAAGCAAAAAGAATTTGGAACTAAGAAATTAAATAATTTTAAAACTCGTATATTGAACATATTCAATTATTTAATATAATTATATAATATGAACGGTTCTCTTAATCTAATCATTACATATTTTCGTTTATAATAAATTAAAATTCAAAATTTATTTTTTCACGCTAAAATCGTGAATTTAAATACGTTAAAGTTATACTATTAATTGAAATTGATTAATTAAATTGATAGCTCATTTATTATTTTTATTAAAATATAAATATTTGACTTACTTTAAAATTTAAAATTTATTTAATAGATATATACGACATATATAGTACATTGATTTTAAAAAAATACAAACAATACACAATGGTTTTAATTGTATAATTTTGTTATTCATTTATTGACATTTGAAAATAAATAATTATTATAGTGGAATTAAATATACATTAAATATGCAAGTACATTAACTTTTTTACATTAAATAATTAAAATATCTTAATTAAATAAGACAATAATATATTTAAATTATGTACGATGATATAATAATTAAATGATGTGTATAACTGTAGTAGCTGATATTTGGATGAAAAAATGTATTTATATATATATATAGTAGTAATAATAATCATAATAATAATAGATAAACATAAATATATATATTTAAGGAAAGGGAGATGAGTGAACGGTGTCGTTTGGAAGAGAGAGAGTGGACGACTAGGATGAGTATAGAGGGTGAGATGGGATGGACAGTCAAGATGAAAGGTAGGTGGGATATAAATAAGAGGAAGGGGAAGAAAGAAAGACAAAGGAAAAATAGAGAGGAGGAAACGAGGAATAGAATATTCGAGAGAGAGGGAAGTCGGAATGGGAAGGAACGAGAAGAGAGAGTGGGAGAAGGAAGAAGGTGACGGTGCGAGCTACGAAGGTGCAGAAAGAAAAGATGAAAACTGGAGGTATAGTAAATTTAAATTTCGAGTGTAAGATGATGATAAAATGTGGAGTTGTGACTATAAGTGTTGAATAAATGTCTAACTAGCTAAGGAAATGGAGTTAGAAAATAATGATAGATGGAATAGGAGAGCGAAAAGAGAATATGAGTGACAGAAACATTGGTTGGAGCTGTGAGTGGAGAGGAGGAAGCCACAGGAGGAGAGATCGATGAGTACGATGAGTGAGTGAAGGTGAGTTTCGGTTACTACTAGAGGAAGGAGTATGGTGATTGAAAAGGTACAAGAGAGTTCGTAGGGAGAGGTGAGTTGGAGTGAGTTTGGAGGAGCAGAACGCGCACGGAAGGAGGAGAGGCGAAATGCCGAAAGAGAGAGAGAAGGATAAGCGAAGGGTTATGAGGGATTGGTAAGGATAAGGAGAAGAGTGCTGGAAGCCGAGACAAACGAAGAGGAGGAAAAATAGGTACTGATAGTAGAACGGTTATAGGTATAATGAGTATGGGAGAGTAGGAGGCGAGATGCTAAAAAAGGAAGATAGGGAGAGGCAGAGTGTTGTGAGAGAGTGGTATTGATAGGAAGAAGAGAACGGGAAGCCGATACAAGGGAAGAGAAGGACAAATAGTGGATTGGTTGGTAATAGTGAGTGTAGGCATGTAGGAGTGGGATGTGAGTATTTTAAAAATTAGGGAGCAGTAAATGTAGGCCTGTAACGGTTGTGTGTGTGAGTGGTTGGTGTAGAGGTGTATTTGTGTAAATGTACTGTGTGTGGGTGTGTGTTGTATGGGAATGTGTATTGGTGTATATGTTGTAAATTTATGAATTTTATGGGTAAGTACTTGGTATAGAGGTGTATTTGTGTAAATGTGCTAGGTGTGAGTGTATGTTGTATGGTGATGTGTTAGTGTATGTTCTATAAATATGTTAAGAAATTTGAGAATTTCATGACAATGTTGATGGTTTAGTAATAGCTCATGTTGGAATACCCGGCGTGGGGGTTAAGTATGCGAGTATGCAGGGTATATTGAGTAGGGACGGGGTGAGAGTGCCTTATAGGCGGTTGAGTTAAAGGACGCCGATATTGGTTGTCGTTACCTAAAAAAGGTAAGTCAATCGCCGATAGTGGTGATGTTTGAGGGTGCCCGACGAATATTGTGTTGAGTCGCCGATGTTGGTGACGGAAGGAAACAGTACTGATGTGTGTGGGTGGCTAGCTAAGGATCGAGTGATAGAAAGGCAAATAATGGTCGTTGATACTGGTGACGGATGAAGGTAACCTTGTGGGTGAGTGACCGAGTCAGGACCGAGGGGGTGATGTCAGGGGGGTGATTACATCTAGTATGAACAATGATTAATTACTGGAGAGACGTATTAATACTGTAGAGTTAGAGAGTAGGACGAAAACATGACTTAGGTATCAGGAAGGGAAAACATATAAGAATGAGATTTTAATTAGGTTTTTATGCTATACTTGTAATTTAAATTTACTGTACTGAGTTATATGTATTTATTATCTATTATTTATAAATGAAGTATGACTGGAATTGAGATCGGAGTTGCCGATTTCTTAATCTAACATATAGAGGAGATAGAGCAGGGGTTACTACCGGTAGAATTGGATACTTACATAGTTGATAGTAACATAAATCGTATGTAAACCAAATATGTATGAACTTGTACTCTACTGTATTGATGCGTTTACGATTGAGGATTTCTATTTGATATTGAGTAATTGGTTGCGGTATTTTTCTTTATGTGTATGCCTGATTTGAATTGAGATACGAGTGTTCTGCATATTGATTTATTTGAGACTACGCCGCTTAAAAAAACAAAGGGACTTTACAATAACTATACACAAAACTAGTGTGACAGCATAAAATATTATTTAATATGATAAAAATAAACATTTTATTTTATTATGTATATGTAATTCTTATAGAATTGGAGATAGTAATCATACTCTATTCTATGTTCATTATTCTTTTATTTGTGTATAAGTATGTATTAAACGAAATTGTATATAAAATAATGTTTAATTCATTTTAATTTTGCTTACCACTAACACAATTATATACGAATTATGATATTTTATCTCAACTTAAAAAATTAATTCAATTATGTAAAATTTTGTTATATTTGCATATATATTATAAATTAATGTCAGTTGGTCAATAATATTTAATTTTATAATTTTATAATTTAATTTATTAGTATATTAAATAAATTACATGGATGAAGGTGAATTTTATTTAATTATAATTAATTTTATTTAATTGTTTAATTATTAAATTACCCAACTTATCATTTTTTAATTAAAAATTTGATT